GACACCTGGACAGGTCTCCAGTTCATCACAGGGACACCTGGACAGGTTTCCAGTTCATCACAGGGACACCTGGACAGGTTTCCAGTTCATCACAGGGACATATAGAGACAAACAAGACAAACAATCATTCTCTCTCTCTCACCTAGGGACAATTTAGAGTTACCAATCAGTCTAACATGCATGTTTTTGGTCTGTGGGAGGAAACTGGAACACCTGGAGAAAACACACGCATGCACGGAGAGAACATGCAAACTCCACCCAGAAGGCCCCTGGACCGGGGTTTGAACCAGGGACCTGCTCGCTGAGAGGCAGCAGCTCTACCAACTGATCCACCCTCAAGACCTGTCCAGGTGTTCCCCATGACCTGAAAAGAAGCTGGCAAAGATGATGGATGGATGGATGGATGGATGGATGTTCAGAGCACAATCACACACAAAATTTAATTATTCAGTAACAACAACAAACAAAATTTAAAAACTGCCCATTTTCTCTGTATTATGAGTCATGTACTGGTCTCCAGTGGTCCCAGTCCAGATGAGCCAACACGTGATGGTTTTCGTGTGAAGAACCGTTAACGCCAGCTTCACTCAGTTTTCCCGTCGTTTGAACCTCCGTCTGTCTGTTGACGTCAGACAAGTTCAACGGTCCTTCTACAAATTATTTTTTATTTTCAATAAGAATGTTTGTGTCACTGAGGTCTGATGTTTGTTTGTTTACCATCCGAGTCTTCGCGTGTTCATCCTGCTCTGTGCTTTTGTGTGTACAAGTACACAAAGTATTTACTGTAAACTGTACAGTTTATGGTCCGTGCAGAAGTTCCTGGTCCATCTGAAGGTCTGTTAACAGTTCTGACTCCAGATCAGCTCAGAAGGTTTTCTTAAAGTACTTCCAGTTTGGTTTTTGGTCTTTGTCCCACGAAGCTGCTCCTGGTCCTCCTGATGTCCCGACTGGTCCAACATGACTAGAAATGTAAACTGGCCCCGTTTGAATCTGTCCATGTAGTTTCTTTGTTTAGGATATTTATTCTTATTTTCAGTGCAGTGCCAAGTTCTGACGTTTGTTCTGTTCTAATGCCAGTCAGGAGGACTGAAGACGTCCCCTCAGCCCAGGTCCTGGTGGTTCCAGGCCAGCGGTCTGGTGTCAGATCTGTTGATGCATTTCAAATAAAAGAGGAAGATGAAAAAACAAACCTGTTGTCTGCTTTTCTTTTTGCCCCAGTATCTGCTGTGTTTGTTCTTCTGGCAACGTCTCCTTCCTTGTCAAGACTTCTTCTCTTCAAGGGTCTCCACAGAGAGTCCTCCTCCATCTCAATCTGTCCTCTGTCTTCACTCCATGTCCTCTAACTGCCTCCATACGTCTCCTCGGTCTGCCCTGGAATCTGCAGTTCCACCGTCGTCCTGATGCTGCTCAATAATCCAGATTAATCCAACACGGTGGAGTCAGGTCCTCTGGATGGATTCTTCTCGTTGAAACGTTTCATCCAAAGGACTTCTTCAGTCTGAGGAGCTGCAACAAACTCAATCTTATAAACATCACCTTCTCATGGTGGATCAACCAGTTTGTTGTTGACATCCAGAACTAGCTGTTCACATGGAGGACCATCAGCCTAACAACTGATCGTTAGTGCCCTGATGGCCGCTTGCTATTCTTGGTTTGATTTCAAGGTCATGGGGTCAAAGGTCAAGGTCACATATGACGCCTTTGTTAAACCTAGTGTATCATCCAGGTTGACACCCCGATAATAAATGTCAAACCCTTTGTCCTGTACACTGTCCCAGTCTGTGGCGTAACCACAAATGTTTAGGACAGGAAATGTCCTCAGACCATGTCTCCACGTTGGATCTTCCTTTGATTCAGACCACTTCCACCAAGAACTACTGAGCGGTTCTGGTTCTGGTAAAGTCCACTTCTCAGATCCTAAAATGGTTTGGGTCAGCTGGCAGTCATAAGCAGGTGAGTTCACTTGATAGCTGCAGGTTCGCGTTTGTCCCGTCGACCATGGACAATGTCTTGAGTGAATCCGACCTTTGACCCCTCCACCATCACGCAGACTCCTGAAAGACTTGGGTTTTCATCACTGGTTTACCGACAGGTGTGTTATGAGCTGTTGGTACTCGTTAAAAGTAGGGCTGGAAATCTTGATGACGTCATCAATGACATCACTCCAGACCAGTAAACAAAGTCAACCTGGTACCAACGTAAGAAAAACCAGCTGGTTTCCAGTTGTTAAATCACCCAGTTTCAACAAACCACAGATCATTTGGAAAGTTTTGGAAATGTTCAGAAACCGGCACGGTGTGGAGGACACCGAGCTCTCCTCAGATTAGAAAGACGTAGAAACAGGAAGTTCCAGCCCATCTCCTCACAGACACGACCAAGTGTTAAGAACGTTTTAATAGTTTCTTCTTCTGCTGTACAAACATTTAATTACATGACTGGAGGTTTCTGAGGCTCCACTCGGCAGCAAATAAAAAAATAAGACTGACGTACGGTGGGGGGTTCAGAGGGACTGGACCTCACAGCAGCACATCTGGACTTAGATCTAAAGAGACAATGCAGCTGTGGGACGACGTCACCGACAGGCTTCAGTCGGTTTCTGCTCAGCAGTTGGAGCCCAGCCCGGTCCAGTGGTCCGGCACCATCAGGAAGTACTTGTCCATGGCCTCACAGAAGCGGGCCCGGTACAGTTCTGGAGACACCACCGTGGGCATCTTCCCTGCAGGTGGACACAACAGAAATTTAGCAAACGAATCAGAACCAGAGTCACAAGGAGAAACTGTATTAGCCCTCAGACGGGTCTTCTAGGGTACTGTCAGCTACTACCACACCAGGACTCACCACCTCTAAAACTGACCGCACCATGGGGAGTTTTAAGGTAGAGCTGTCATTTATAACCCGGGCCCGAAGCGGTGTCGGGCTTTTGACTGCGTCAGCGGATCAGCCACGATCCAATTATATGATGCCAAGGCCTGCCATACATCCAATTATATGATTTCCATTTCACCGGCTCTGAAAGAGGTGAAACAAAGTTCAGTCAAGCTTCAGATGGACTGTACTGCCAGGCAGCGACCCATCAAAGCCCAGATGGACGTTCAGCGTGCACTCAGCGTGCACTCAGCGTGCACTCAGCGGACGTACGCGGCCGACGACCCAAACAGGTGAGATCCTGAAAGGACAAACACCCTCAGCTCTGATCTTCTGCCTCTGTGTATCTGCCGACCGTTAACAACTACATAAGCAGTCAAAGCTTAATTAAACGTGTTGTGTGTGTGTGTGGGGGGGGGGGGGGGGGGTCGGACCTGTAATTGCTGTTAATTCGTCGGGTCGGGTTTGGAAGTGATGTCTACGGGCTGGGGCTGGGGCCGGGGCCGGGTCGTTTGGATTTTTTGGGCCCAAATGCAACTCTGTTTTAAGGTAGACCAGGCAGCCATCTTGGATTGCGTTACAATTGCAACTCACTTCTAACAGGACGAACGTACATCGTGTTGGTGTTCATTAAAGGGACATTCAGGGGATTTTAAACTGAGGTTCTAATCAGAACAGGATTTCTTTGATCTTCATCGTACTCTGGGATTTTACATCTTTGTTTAAAACAAGTTGATGGACGTTACTTGTACAGCTCCTCTCTAATCAAGACAGAGCTCTTTACAACACACTGTGCCCTCACTAACCTCCACACACATTCAGACACTGATGGGACACACATCAGAGGCATGAGAGGTTCAGTGTCTTGCCCAGGGACACTTCAACATGTGACTGCTGGTGGAATTGAACCCCCAATTCTCCCACTGGAGGATGACCACGCAGTTTTAAGTGTGAGCAGCTCAAGAAGAAAAGACCTGAAGAAGGTTCGCAATATTTCATGAAAACAGTTTCTCGAGATTTCTTCGTCAGTCCTTAAGCTCCAGGAGATGTTTTCACATGAAACTCACAGAACTAGAGCAGAACACTGATGCCCCCTGTCACTGAGGGATCTGAACAGTGAAAGTTATTTCAAGAGCAGAGGACAGCCACCGGTGCTGTTGACAAACAGGGTGCCGGAGGAAATTGTGCTGCTGTTAGTTGAAGACCACGGGGAGGGAAACGAGTCAGGAGACAGAGGAGAAGAGGAAAGTGAAGAATGTAGGACTGAGGGTTGCAACTCTAAATGTGGGGACAATGACAGGCAAAGGTAGAGAGCTGGCTGACATGATGCTGAGAAGGAAGGTAGATGTTTTATGTGTCCAAGAGACCAAGTTAAGGGCAGCAAGGCTCGCAGCATTGGAGCAGGGTTCAAACTGTTTCACCATGGTGCGGATAGAAAGAGAGAAGGAGTAGGGGTGGTCCTGAAGGAGGAGTTGGCAAAGAATGTAGTAGAGGTGAAAAGAGTGTCAGATAGGGTGATGTGCCTGAAGGTAGAAGTAGAAGGTCTGATGCTAAATGTTGTCAGTGGTTTTGCTCCACAGGTTGGATGTGATGTGGAGGAGAAAGATCTGGATGAAGTGATAGAGAGTATTCCCAGGGAGGAGAGGGTGGTGATGGGAACAGACCTGAATGGACATGTTGGTGAAGGAAACAGAGGATGAGGAAGTGATGGGTAGGTTTGGTGTCAAGGAAAGAAACCAGGAAGGACAGATGGTGGTGGATTTCGCCAAGAGAATGTAAATGGCTGTAGTCAACACCTGTTTCCAAAAGAGGGAGGAGCATAGAGTGACCTATAAGAGTGGAGGAAGGAGTACGCAGGTCGACTATATTCTGTGTAGAAGAGGAAACCTGAGGGAGACTGGAGACTGTAAGGTTGTGGCAGGGGAGAGCGTGGCCAGACAGCATCGGATGGTTGTGTGTAGAATGACTGTTGTTGTGAAGAAGAGAAAAAGAGTAAAATCAGAGAAGAAGACCAAATGGTGGAAGATGAAGAAGGAAGAATGTTGTGATAAATTCAGAGAGGAGCTGTTAAAGGCTCTGGGTGGTAAGAAAGAGCTTCCAGATGACTGGACTACTACAGCAACAGTAATTAGAGAGACAGGTAGGAAGGTACTTGGTGTGTCATCTGGACAGAGAATGGATGATAAGGAAACCTGGTGGTGGAATAGTGAAGTGCAGGAAGATGTTCAAAGAAAGAGGTTAGCCAAGAAGAAATATGACAGAGAGAGGACTGAAGAGAGGAGACAGGAATATAAGGAGATGGGATGAAGAACAAAGAGGGAGGTAGCTAAGATAAAGCAGAAGGTGTAAGATGAGTTGTATGGGAGACTGGACACTAAGGAGGGCGAGAAGGACTTGTACCGATTGGTGAGACAGAGGGATCAGGCTGGGAAGGATGTGCAGAAGGTTGGGCTTGTTAAATATAGGAATGGTAATGTTCTAACAAGTGAGGAGAGTGTGATGGGAAGATGGAAGGGGTACTTTGAGGAGTTAATGAATCAAGAGAATGAAAGAGAAAGAAGAGCAGAGGTCATAGAAACTGTGGACCAGGAAGTGGGAAAGATTAGTGAGGGTGAAGTCCAGAAAGCTCTGAAAGAATGAAGAAGGAGAAGGCAGTAGGACCTGATGACCAGTGGAGGTTTGGAAATGTCTTAGAGAGATGGCAGTGAGGTTTTTGACTCAAATATTCAATGACATATTTGAGGGTGAGAAAAAGGACATTTCCAGTGACTGCTCTTGGCTCTGGACAGAAAGCTACCAGAGCCAGTCAGTGAGGACTCATGTACCAGGTCCACTGTAGGACAGAACATTGTCTCAGTGGTAGCATCCTCAGTACATGAACACATACAGATCTCAGAAAGTTCATCTTTTAATCAGCAGATCAAGGTCCAGGTTATCGCTGATTTCCTGAGCTGCTGTGACCCCAGAACCACCTCAGTGCCGCTCAGGATGGAGGTCACCTTGATCTGCTGGTTTCCTTAGAACAATGGTTCCAAACCGTGGTACTTCAGGAACACCATCCTGCAGGTTTTAGTTGTTTCCCTGCTTTGACACATCTGATTTAAATGAATAAGTGATTGGCAGGCTTCGGCAGAACACGAAGTAATTAAGTCACTGAGTCAGGTGTGTTGGAGCAAGAAAACAACTAAAACATACAAGATGGTGTTCCTCAAGGACCACGGTTGGGAACCAATGCAATTTTTAAATGGTTCTGGTTGTGATAAAAAATGAGATCATGGATACAGGAGATTGAAATGAGTTTCCTCTGCAGGGTAGCTGGACTCTCCCTTAGAGACAGGGTGAGTTCAGTTATCAGGAGAGACTCTGAGTAGAAGCACTGCTCCTCCACATCCAGAGGAGCCAGTTGAGGTGGTCCGGGCATGTCCAACTGGGAGGAGACCCTGGGGAAGACCCAGGACACACTGGAGGGACCATGTCTCTCCAGTGTGTCCTGGGAACACCTTGGGCTCCCCTCAGAAGAACTGAGATGTCTGGACCTCTCTGCTCAAGATGCTGCCCCCGAGACCTGACTTCAGAATAAGAGGAAGATGATGGATGGATGGATGGATGTGATATGATCGGATTCTCAATTTAAACTGCTGTGAACAAATTAAAGTGATGGAGGGTAAAATCAACATGAAACTGGAAACGGTTCAGTCCAAGTACTGAGACCAGATCCTGCGATCACCTTGGCCTCCCAGGATTCCCGTAGACTTGACCACCATCTCCAGCTTCTTGTCCCACGTGAATGTCCGGATGTAATCTTTAGGAAGCAGCAGAGGGAGAACCATCAGAACCGTCCTAATGGACTCTGACCGACCCCCACCCCCCTCATCCTCACCTATGATCCCGACCACCAGCTGGTCCGTGGCGTCGTCCCGCCCCACCAGCAGCGAGTAGTCGATGATGAGGTGGCTGGACAGGAAGAAGGCGTCGCTGTGGATGGCGGCTCGCAGGATGGTCTTGCAGTGGGAGCGGATGTAGAGCGGGTTGTCGTGAATCAGCTTCAGCAGGTTCTCGTCCAGCAGAACCACCTCACAGCTCTCTTTACCCGAGTCGGTCTTCACGTTCCGGTTCCTCAGGGAGCCTTTCAGGTCAAACACCTGCAGAAGAACCTTCAGTATCAACCCGACACACCTCTGAAGGATGAATCCAACCTGTGGAGAACGCACCTGAGCCATCTTACGGCCATAGAACAGGTTCTCCATGACCAGAAGGTCCAGTTTTTTCTCTGTGTTGTTCTGGGAGTTCTTGTACCCGATCCTGTAGACCCCCAGGATTTTGGCCAGCGCTGTCGGCCTCTGTGGAGCAAACATGGAGGTGAAAATCCGAGCTGTGAAGACCGAAGCCTTAAGGGCAGGAGACCCACCTTCTGCTGCACGGCACCGCTGATGTAGGTGAAGTAGTGCGGAGCAAAGTCCAGGAAGGACTGGACCTCCAGTCTGGGCATCTGCTTCAGGATGAAGCGGTCATCTGACAGGAAGCAGGAGAGGTCAGCAGGTCCAACAAAACCGTACCATCAAGAAGAACAAGTCCACCTGCAGATTTCTGCTGGTTTTGATTCTTCATCATCAAGCTCTTTAATTATCAAATATTTTTACAACTACTTTGCAAACTTCATTGATAAAGCTGCTCTGCTAAAAAAGAAAGTAATCAATCAGAAGAGAATAGCTCCTTGGTTCAATTCTGAGTTACGTACTTTAAAACAGACATCTAGAAAGCTAGAATGAAAGTGGCGCTGCATTAATGTTGAGGAATTTTACTCATCTTGGAGAGATAGTCTGCCAACGTACAAAAAAATGCTCCGTAAAGCTAGAACTTTATATTATTCATCTTTAATTGATGAGAATAAAAATAACCTCAGGTTCCTTTTCAGTACCATAGTTAGTCTAATGTAAACTCTCTCTATGATAATTCATGTGTCCCTACAACTATAAGCAGTGATGACTTCATGAAATTCTTTATAAATAAAATCGTTTTAATTAGGGAAAAAATTCAAACCAACATTCCTACTATCACCTCTGGTTCTGTGTCAGATGAGACAACTTTAAAAATGTCACTAGAACCTGATTTATGTTTGGACTGTTTTGATCCTGTTGAGCTCTGAATTGTCAAAAATAATAGCTTAATCCAAACCATCCACATGCCTGCTAGATCCCATCCCATCCAGACTGTTTAAAAGACATATTTCCCTTAATTAATAACCACATGTTGGATCTGTTAATTTGTCTCTAATAAACGGTTACGTACCACAGAGCTTTAAGGTTGCTGTAATTAAACATTTACTTAAGAAACATAACCTCAACCCAGGAATCCTAGACAACTATAGATCTATATCTAATCTAACTTTCATCTCAAATATTCTAGAGAAAATAGTTGCAGGTCAGTTACATGATCATCTGCAAATAAATAATCTGAAGAGTTTCAGTCAGGGTTCAGAGTTCACCACAGCACAGAATCTGCACTGGTGAAAGTCACTAATGATATTCTCATGGCCTCAGACAATGGACTTGTGTCTCTACTGGTCCTGTTAGACCTCAGTGCTGCATTTGATACAGTTGATCACAATATTCTGTTATATAGGCTTGAATATGATGCTGGAATTACAGGAAGAGCTCTAAATTGGTTCAAATCATATCTATCTGATAGATTCCAGTTTGTAAATGTAAATAATGAATCTTCTTCATACACCAAAGTTAGTCATGGAGTTCCTCAGGGTTCAGTGCTTGGACCAATACTCTTTACCTTGTATATGCTTCCATTAGGTAAAGTTATTAAACAGCATGGGATAATTTTTATTGATATGCTGATGATACACAGTTATATTTGTCCATTAAACCCAATGAATCCAATCAGCTACTTAGACTACAAGCATGTCTTAAAGACATAAAAACCTGGATGACACTAAATGTTCTGCTTTTGAATATAGACAAGACTGAGGTTTTGGTTTTTGGACCTGAGCACCTGAGCAGTTTTTTGCCCTCCTTGGATGGCATTAATCTGGCCGGGGAAGACCCAGGACACGCAGGAGACACTACGTCTCTTGGTTGGACTGAGACCTTAGGGTCCTCCCAGAAGACCTGGAAGAGGGTGTTGTGGAAAGAGACGTCTGGGCCTCCTGCTCAAGCTGCTGCCTCTGAGACCTGACTTCAGAACAAGCGGAGGAAGATGATGGATTGATGGATGGATGTGTGTGGAGGTGACACTCAACTGAGCCTTTAAAAACCTCCTGATTTAACAAGGATTACTTTTCCACACCTGATCAGGTTGGTTTGGAGATCCTCTCCCTCTTGTAATCTAGCTCATTATTTAAACCTTTATTCTGAAAGTCTGAAACGTTTAGTTTTTACAGAAACAGAAGAAATCTGCCTGTGGGGGGTACCAACCCTCTGTAGCATAGAAAACGGCTCCAGACTTCCCTCCCCGGGCCTGCCAGTTGACACAGTGGGACAGCGAGCGGACAAAGTCCTCCTCGCTGCTCTCCATGATCTCCTCACGCATCTGGTGGAACTCTTCGGCGTAGTAGATCCGACAGTAGAACTTGGCGTTGGCGTCAGAGAATTCTGCGGTGAGAAAGAGACGGGTCAGATCTTTGGATTTCTTGGCTCGTCGGATGAAACGGAGACTCACGCAGCTCCACGTGTGGATTCAGGGTCTGTTTCTTCTGCTTGTCGGCCAGGTCGGCGTCCCCTGAAAAACAAAAAGACAAACGTCCTCACTGACTCTGTCAGGCGGTGTTTGTTGGACTGCAGAACCTGGAGGACACGTACTGAGAGGATCTCCATCGGCGCTGCTGCGACTCTGCTGGGTCGACAAAGATTCGCCGGGCCTGGCCGGGCTGCTCCTGGACCGACTCTCTGCGCCACTAAAAACACACACAAAGTCATCAGAACTGCAGGCTGGTTCAGGTCCGATCAAACATCAAAACAACGAAACAGAACCTATGTGTGCTGTTTATGTTTCCTGTAAAAACAAGGCCCTGTCAGACCTGCTGGTCCCCTCCAGGTCCAAGTTAGAATTTAGCAGAACTAAGGACTTTGCGTACCTGGGGGGCTGTGGAGTCTCATCTCCTGTGGCATTTGAAGCCTTGGACAGATCTTCCAGAGCTGTTTTGTATTCTTTGCAGCTGGTGGAAAACAAGCAGAACATTACTGATGCTAGATGTAGGGGAACAAGGAGAACAAGGAGAGCAAAGAGAACGAAAGTGAGCGCTCACCTGAGGGCGAAGGCAATGATGGAGCTCGGCTCGCGCTCACACACTGCAATGGGAACCCGCTCGTGCTCGTACATCAGGTAGTGTTTGTCTGGATCACTGTGGACACACAAGTTGAGCTGTTAGCACTCAGACTGGGCGCTGAGGATCACAGTCAGCTACTACCACACCATTTCTGTATTTGACTAAGTAAGCTGTGGCGGCCATCTTGAATGAAGTCGACTCCAACAATAATCAGTTTCGTTTGTGTAAAGATCTTGAAATATGTTCAGGAATTAACGAGATATTTTACTAACGGACAAGAATTCTGTTAGCAACATCGAACGTCCGCTCAAGATCTCAGAAACTTTGCTCATTTTGGTATTTGGCATCAGGTAGCTGTGGCGGCCATCTTGAATTGGGTGGACACAAAAAGACAGTCAGCCACGTCCGGAGATTGCTTTGTGAGATTTGCAGAAAGATTTAGGAGAAGGTGAAGGACTCTCTGTGGTTTTTACAAGATTAGAGGGGGTTGTTTCTGGTGAATAGCGTTGTCGTGGTAACTTAGGCCACACTGACAGTAATAGGCACATATTTGATAACAGAATACCAGACGAGTCATAAAACCTTGACCCCAGTGGTAGGAGCAGTCAGAAGGAGAGGTTTAGATTGTGTATGAGGGCCCGGCAGGCTTCCTTCAGTCCTGCAGGGTGTGACTTACAACGGGAAGGGGATGGGGTTGAAGCTGTTTCCAGGCAGGAAGTTGGCAAGGATGGCCTTCATGGTGGACTTCTCCTTCACCTGGCTGTCTGTGGAGCCCAGGAGGTGTCCGTCAAACACGTCTGAAAGCAGTGAAGGCCAAGTGTGAGGAAACATCTGGATCAAACTTGATGTGTGTGCATGTGCATGTACCTTCAGGGATGCTGACAGAGTCCTGCTCACTGAAGGAGGGTCCAGCAGAGACCGTTTCGACTCCGGGGTCTCCAGGTGATGAAAGCTGGGAGGAGGTGGTTGAGGGCAGCGTGCAGAGGTGACGGTCTTCTGTCAGGGGGACAAAACGGCATCACAGAAAGCTGCACACAGACCTGGATTTAGTTCTGAAAGAACCCCAGACCCCTGCAGTGAGTCAGTTGTGGTTGTTGTGTTGACCAAAGTGGTTAAACCCACCTTTGTCCCCATTCTGGACCACAGGTGAGGGGTTTCGAGGAGAGGAGTCCAGGGTGCTCTGTGAAACAGATAAAAATCAAATAACCAGGAAGAATTAGTTTCAAGTCTGCACTGCAGCTGCTGTTTTTAGGATTTTAATAACCAGAGGGGTTTCCTCTTAAGCCAGGTCAACCAAACTGGGTTTTCTTCTCTTAGCCTGATTTGACTGAAAAAGTTACAACAATAACAGCTCTGTTACTTTGTTAATTCAGACAATCGCCTCTTCTACAGGTGTGCAGTGGAGAGCATCCTGTGCTCCAGCATCAACGTGTGGCATGGAGGCTGCACAGCTGCAGAAAGAAAAGCTTTGCAGAGAGTGGTGAAGGCTGCACAGAAGATGTTGGAGTCAGCCTCCCCACCATCACAGACATCTACACCTCCAGATGCAGGAAGAGGGCCACCTGCATCATGAAGGACCACACTCACCCAGCACACACACTTTTTGACCCACTCCCCTCAGGAAGGAGGTTAAGGAGCATTAAGTTTAGAACCACTAGACTGAGGAACAGCTTCTACCCTGAGGCTGTTAGACTCATGAATCTCTAACCAGAATAATCACTGTGGTGACACTTTGATTGGAAATATGTGACTTATCTGTGCTGCTGATTATCTATGCTGCTGATCTCATGCTGCTGATCATCTCATGCTGCTGTGTTCATTTATACCCCTCTGCTCACTACAGACTCATATTCAGGCTGCTGTTTAGTATACTGTATTGTTTTACATTATTAGCGTTTGGCGTTCGTTTAGCGTATAACTTAGTTTATGTCTTAGATCCTTATTTACTGTTTCTTTTTACACTTTACATTTTTGTTATTATTGGATGTAATGAAGGAAGGAAGGAAGGAAGGAAGGAAGGAAGGGAGAAAGGAAAGAAGGAATAAAGGATACAAGGAAGGATGGATAGGAAGGAAGGAAGGGAGGGAGGGAGGGAGGGAGGGAGGGAGGGAGGGAGGGAGGGAGGGAGGAAGGAAGGAAGGAAGGAAGGAAGGAAGGAAGGAAGGAAGGAAGGAAGGAAGGAAAGAAGGAAGGAAGGAAAGGAGAAAGGAAAAAAGGAAGAAAGGATACAAGGAAGGAAGGAAGGATGGATAGGAAGGAAGGAAGGAAGGAAGGAAGGAAGGAAGGAAGGAAGGAAGGAAGGAAGGAAGGAAGGGAGAAAGGAAGAAAGGATACAAGGAAGGAAGGAAGGAAGGATGGATAGGAAGGAAGGGAAGAAGGGAGGAAAGAAGGAAGGAAGTGAGGAAAGAAGGGAAGAAATGAAGGAAGGGAAGAAGGGAGGGAAGGAAGGGAGGAAGGAAAGGAGGGAAGGAAGGAAAGAAGGGAAGAAATGAAGGAAGGGAAGAAGGGAGGGAGGGAGGGAAGGAAGGAAGGAGTCTCTGTGCTTCAGTTTCTTTACAGTAAAATAAATTGATAAGCAGCTTTGATCTTTGACCTCCTGGAAGGACACCTGTTACCACGACGACAGGTTTTAGACACGGTTACTGGAGCGTCAGCCACATCTCTGGTACCTTGCTGTCGTCAGGAGCGCTGGGTCTGAGCCTGCCGGGACTCGGGGGAACAGACAGACGCTTCCTGCTCTTCTCCTGCTGGAACAGCTCCTGAAGTCTGCAACAGAAACCAGCCCAGAACCATCACCAGCATGTTCTGGTACAGGGGAGAGGGCACACTTCAAACTGCTTCTGGGTTTTGGTTTAGTTCTGCTTCAATATATGATCAGTGTTCATCTTTGTTTAGCCATCTGAGGAAGTGATGATGGTTTCATCTGGTCCTGATATGAAGGTATTTTACCCTAACAGTCAAGTTCTCTCTCTGCTACCGTGGTCTGATGAGCCCACCGCCCTGATCTTGACCAACATACTGGTTAAAGCACACCGACTGGTTCTGACCTGCTGTTCCAGGATTGCAGCATCTCACACAGACTCTGTTTCTTCATCACCAGGGATTCCAGAACCACCTGGAGCTGCTGAGGAGAATCCAGGCTGCAGGTCTGCAGCCTCACCTGAAGCTTGTCAACCCAGCTGCGCAGCTCTGCCTCCTCCATCTACAAGCACAAAGCAAGTGTCCAACAAAGACCACAAGTACAAAGATGAAGGGAAGAGGAACACCTACATCTTTCTGAGCAAAGAGGTCCTCCATCTTCTCCTCCCGGGTCTTGCTGAAGGTATCCGTCTTCAGGGAGGTGAGCCGGTCATCGATGGCCAGGTACACCTGAACCACTCTGTTTCCACAAAGAAACCAGGGACTGTTAATCAAGATCCCCAAAACCTGAACTTGGGAGTTTAAGTAGGATCAAGCTGAGCATTTTAAGGAGAACATGTGTCCTATCGAAGAGAAAAGTCAAAGTCAAGGGGGACATCTTCTCTTAGATCATTGGTGGCTCTTGGAACCATTGTGGCTCCACATAATGGAGGTGCTACATGACAAACGTGTGCAAAAATTAACATGGCGCTCTTTACGGTGGAACGTGAAAAGGTTGAGGTATTTCCCTTCAGAGCAGGGTCTCGTCTGATGAGACACCTGTCCTGTCTTTCTGAAGACCAGTTACGTGTCTTTATGTCTTGTTTGAAACAAATAAACCTCAACATTAAAAGATGAACACTCAACTTCTAAAAACTGTGGCTCTGGGGCCACTCGTGATGCTTTCGTCCCTCAGCAGTGCTTGCCAGCCAGTGCCCGCTAGTCTCACTTTAGCTTCACATGGACACCACCTCCACGTGGACACCACCTCCATGTGGCCACCACCTGTGAGGAGGTCCAGCAAGGTTTGTTGGTATGTGAGCCACGTAGCAGGCAAGGGAGATTGGGTTGACTCCAGGCAGCAGAAGTTGGCTCTAGAGACACGTTTTTGGTTTGTAAGAAGCTGGTGCTTGTGTGTGAGGTTGACCAGTACCAACTAGATGTAGTGAAGTGACCTTGTTTAAGCCAAAGTAGAATTATTCCCTACAAAGATATCATATGCATGTAAGGCCTTAGGGAAGTTAGAAACAACTAGACCTAGAAATAAGAAATGTTATCGGCGAGCCTACGTAGGAATTGCAGACTCCGTGAAGTTTGGGCTGGGGCCTTGGGTTTGAGTAAGGCTGATCCAGAGCGTTCTCCCTGATGAGAACATGAGAGATAAACTATCTGTAGTGATGCACAAGAAATGTATAAAGGGTCTGTGTGAGGCTGTAGGCATTGCACAGAGGGTGAATGCCAGGTTTGCTGTCATTCAGAGACTCAGTGTCATCTAGTTTTACTTTGTGATCAATGGGCTCACCTGTATGTGTAGTTTGTGCTTTGGAATCAAACTCCAGAAGACGGGCATTGGACAGGTCTGGGGATTCTCGCAAATGCCCAGCTAAGCAACTCCATGTTGGAGTTCTCCCTTGTGAACATGAGGGATGGCTCCCTACAACTTTGAACTGCAGGAAGGTTCTGACAGGTGTAAGCAACAGTTCAGATTACCCAACCATCTCTGAGTCTCTAAATGGTCTCATGGAGGTGGTGCTACCTGGGGATTCTATAGTATTCCTAGGGTACTTCAGTGTCCAGGTAGGCAATGACACAGCTATCTGGAGGTAAGTGATCTGAAGAGGAGAATGGACCAACCTGATCTGAACCCAAGTGGTGTTCTGTTACTGGCTGTCCATGGTGGGCATGGACGTTCAGAACAAACATGATATTCAAGGAGGGCCCATCACATCATGCCTCTTATGAATTGTGAAGCCCAGTCTGGCATGGATCAGACCAGCCCCAGTCTTCTCTGGATCTTAACAGCCCGGCTAGCTCAGTCGGTAGAACGTGAGACTCTTAATCTCAGAGTCATGGGTTCAAGCCCCACGTTGGGCGCTCAAGTTTTGGGGCAGTTGTGGCTGAGTGGTTAGTAGTGGTGTAACGGTACATGTGGGTGTATTAAACCATTATGGTACAACACGTTCAGTTCGGTCCACGTGCGTAGAGTTTTGGTTATTTTTCACTCACTCAATTTTATTAATGAGAGATTATGCGCCGCAGAACTAAAGTTCCTAAGCGTGTTTCAGCACGGCGCTATTATCTTGCAGCACGCGTAGCATTAGCAGCCTAGCATCTCGTTGCAGTCTCCTGTTGGGGAACATTATGGCTTTCTTGTTAAAATACAAGTGAACAAATGAAAGCTGCGTGTCGACGTCGTTTCACGGAGATTGGATCTGCAGCAGCAACACGTCTAATTTGTTAACGTGCTTGAAACGACATCATCCGAATGTGAACGTCTCTTCTAGCAGCTTGTTGCAAAGACCAATAACAGCAGCATTTAAACAACCTTTCTCAGGTAATTCAGATCAGACCAGAGCAATAACACAAGCTGTAGGAGTTTTTAAAGCTCTGGGTCTACGTCCGTATGTCGTTGATGCGCCGGCTTTAAGCATTTGATTAAAGTTATTGAGCCCCACTACGACATCCCATCACATCAACACTTCAGCAGAAAGTTGTAGCAGCACTTTAAGAAAAAACTAAAACTGATCATCAACAAGCCCTGGAGCAGCTTTAAAGCCCTGCCCTGATGATGATGATGAACGAGAGATTCAACCACCCTCCTAGCATAACAGTGCGGACTGAACTAGGCAAGAGGGCCTTCTCCTACTCCGCTCCCGTTTCCTGGAATATCTTACAAAAACAATTGAAGCTCTCGACCTTTGACCTCTCCAAGTGACTTTAAGAATCTGTTGGACTCCTGGCAGGGACCAATGCTGACATGTTCCTGTTTTTAGTTTTATACATTCATCTTAGAATCTACCTGGTTTTGTTACTCTTTTTGCATCTTATTTGTAAAAAAATAAAAATAAAATCTGTATGCCTTTTTATAACTGTCTATTGTTGTCGCTGTTGTCATCATTCTTTGTTAAATCAGGTCTCTCTTGTAAATGAGACCTCGAGGCTCAATGTGATCTACCTGTAGAAATAAAGGTTCAATGAAAAAAATAAATGATGACCATTCAAGAAGAGGTAATGTTATTGTATTATGAGCTAATTAACGTTTTTACATTTAAAATTATAATCTTATTAACTCATTTTTTACCTCTTTGTGTTTTATTTCCAGTCTGGGACAAAGACAGCAGCTGAGTCTTCTTCCTCTTCAGGGAAATCCACCAGAGATCACCTCCAGCTAAGAAGTCTGTGATGACTGAACTCTGAACTTTTCCAGGGACAGGAAGTAGCATGTCCCTTGTGGAGCAGGTCCTAGAAGAGGTTTGTGAGTACAGAGCTTCATGGTGCCCTTCCTTTGAAGCGGACCATTCTTTGGTGGAAAAACAATGAGGCCAAAACAAAAACAGCCACACTGCAAAATTAGCACAGCTCTGCCTCTTTATTCCTGATACTGTTGTTAGTGAGAGGTTCTCTCCACCGCTGGAGAGATTCACTGCAACTAGATCTGAGCTTTTGGCAGAAAATGTGGACAAGTTGGTCTTTTTGGACAAAAACAAAACTTGATTAGTTAGATTGTAAACAGTCTGTTGCTGCTTATTGTTCTGTTATTGTATTTATTAAGATTTTTATTATTGTTAATATAGTTTATTGATTGTCAAGAGTGCCGTTATTTAAAATATCATCCAAATGGGTCATTTTATTTATTTTTATACAAACGTATTGTTTACTTGACATATTTTCAAAATAAACATTTTGTCGATCATTATTTTGGCCTTTTTTGTACCGAAAATTAACCGAACCGAGCCCTCCTTGAAACTGAACCGAACCGAAATGTGATTTTAGCGTACCGTTACACCCCTAGTGGTTAGAGGGATCGCTCTCCAATGGGAGAGTCGGGGGTTCAATTCCAGCAGCAGTCACATGTTGAAGTGTCCCTGGACAAGACAATGAACCCCTCACTGCCTCTGATGTGTCCCATCAGTGTCTGAATGTGATCTAAAGCTCTGATTAGTCTCTACAGATTCAGATCGTTGTTGTAGAGATGCAGTAGTGCGCTGTATGAATGTGTCAATAAGGGCACAGATTGTGATGTAAAGTGCTTTGAGTATCTTGGGCGCTACATAAGCACAGTCCTTTTACCATCTGGTTTTGTTTGGGTTCAGCAGAGCGCTGCCTCGATGTGGGTGGGGTCGTCGTAGCAAGACTGCAAATCGCAGCTTGGATATAACGGCACCTCGTCGTTTGTCCAGGGCACTGGTGCCATCCTTTGTGTTCTCTCTCATCACACAACCGTCCAGAAGCAAGCAGCTGGAGGAAATGGTGCAGCCACTGGAAGTATGACTCATTTTTGACACGACACCCCCAGCCAGCGAACCAATCATAGGTCAGCAGTCTGCCGATGCCAAATCTGCAGCAACAGCCCGGTCTGAATGAAACATCAGGCCTCTGGGTTCCAAAAACTGAGCTGGAACTGGGCCAGACTGCCCAGTGCCTACACTCAAAACCCGGACCGGAACCCGAGTTGTAAAATGTAGGCTGGGCCTTAAAACACACAAGGGCCATAAATGTCCATGGTACTGGACCACAATAGGCTAAAAGCCAGTACGTTCATGCCATCAGACTGGGCACCCAGGTGAAGGGAGGTGGAGAGCCGTTTGATCCCCACCTGGTGGTGAGGTGGAGATGTTGGTGGACAGACTCGGTAAACCAGAATGAGTAAGGGTGAAAGATGTCCTGTGAGTAAGGTAGTATTAAAGATTTCACTGTAGCTTACAGCTGGTGACACTACGTTAAGAAAATTAGGAAGTGTCAGTTCTGACTACGAGAACGTACCGGCCCACTTTGAACGCCGACAGGTGGTTGATGCACGGTCACCGTTTGTCAGTTTTCATACTGGATACATTACAGCCTTAATGTCCCGCCCTCCTACATGATTAAAACTAATTTAACTTAATTTCTTGGATTATTTCCGTTTGATACTTTGGACTGCAGATGACGCGATTCTGAAGGGGTGAACTGTAACGTTCCTCCCACAGGTTCCTGGAACCCTGGGATGTGTAACAGCATCTGCTTTACTTCTGAGAGAAGTCCTTTAGGTCCTGCTGCAGGTTGGCTTTGGAAGGCCCCAGGTTCCTGATGAAGATCTTGGGACGAGGAAGACAAATCTCCAACAGCCTTACGAACGTGTAGCTGAGAAAACAAAGGTTCACTGATTCGTTATTCGTGTGGCACAGATTCCACGTTCTCCGCTGTCAGGTGAGTGACCTGAATGACGAACCTGAAGGAAGCCACCATCTGGTTGTAGGAGAAATACTGATGGTAGTCTTTATGGATGGAGTGTCCACAGGGCTCTGCGTTGGCCCGTCTGGTGTACTGGTGGCCATAGAAACGAAGCTCCAGATATTTGGCAAAAGACATGGACCATGAATCGTTAGACAGAGGCACCACTGGAGTCACCTTCAGAGGAAAGAGGAGAGTTATTATGTTATACTCCTGTCAGCACATGGTTATACAGCAATACAGAGCAATGGTCCAGACAACCAAAGGCCTTATTTGAACTTTGATCTTGATTTGTGGCCTTCAAAAAGCTCAGTGGCTCAGTGAAGTCCTTCTTCAGTGGCCTGAACGCGGCGCTCACCTGTTTGCAGATGCGGCACCAGGAGTAGTTGAGGATGGTGTGCTGATAACCGGGCACGGGGGAGTCCAGCTCCTTCAGCACGATCTGCACACAGCCGCTGCCGTGCACAAAGCGGCGAACGTGGTGCACCATGGGAGTCTCACAGAACATGCTGGGGCACTGGTACGAGGGCCTGGAGGAGGGGGACATCATGAAGCAAATCGAGACGCTGACAGGTGGTGGTATTGGGTCGAAACGTCTCACCTGAAACAGTAGCGCTCCAGGAAGACGCCCAGAGACAGGTCGTTTTTACCGTAGAACTCCATGGTGACTATCCTGTTCACAACACAAACACTGAGCACGAGTTTTCTCGTTTGAGTTCAGATCTGAAGGAGAGGTGTGCACGTTACCACGGGCTGACGCAAGGGTTGGGAGCGTTGTTGGACTGAAGTGACGAACTGCTGAAGAGCACGCACAGCCTCTGGTGGTTGTTGGGGTTCAAACAGTCCAGCTGACGAGAACACACAAAGAAGAGACGAAAACACGTAACTCAAGGTTTAGTCTACAATCGACAAACGAGAGGTCCGCTGATGACCCCCGTCTTTGTGGGGTTTGAAGGGTGAAGGTTTGTTGTATGTATGTTTCTGGTGAAGATATTCAAGTGGGCAGGAGTTACACTGTGGAGAAGAACGGAGGGAGGGTTTTTTCTTGTTCGAGACAGCGCAGTGACGGAGGGCGCAACATGAATCTATCACCAGGACCAATGGAGGAGCCGTTTGCAGAGTGAGAAGCGGGAATTGGAAACACCTACCATCCGTCCATCCCTGTTGTGAGCTTAAATCTGAACAGAAAGTTAGGTACCAACTTCCATCTTGGTGTGTAGATCGATGTGTGTGTGTGTAAACAGACCACACCAATCATCTGAGGAAACTATGCTTTCTAGTTTTTATGTAGCATAAAAGCATAGCTGCCTCAAGTGGTTGGTGTGGATCATGTTCTAGTGCCAACAACACAGAGGGACATTTATGACATTTATGGTGGCAACCATCTTGGATTTTCAAAAGGCACCTTTAGCTGCAGCCACACACTAAAATAGAAGCCGGTGCTTCACTTAATTTTCAAGTTCTCGTGCTCACAACATGCACGGAACGACAGACTATTTCCAGTTCACCCTTCTCGCTCTGCAACAGGAGACAAGAACTCCATGTTTTGTAGAAGTCATTGAAGGCTTGTGGTGCTTTGTTCCATCCATCCATTATCTTTACCCGCTTCTTCCATTTTGGGTCACGGGGGTCGCTGGTGCCCATGTCCAGCAATCACTGTGCGAGGGGCGGGGGACACCCTGGACAGGTCTCCAGTCCATCACAGGGACACAGAGACAAACGAGACAAACAACCATTCTCTCTCTCACTCACACCTAGGGACAATTTAGAGTTACCAATCAGCCTAACATGCATGTTTTTGATCTGTGGGAGGAAACTGGAGTACCCGGAGAAAACCCACGCATGCACGGAGAGAACATGCAAACTCCACCCAGAAGGCCCCTGGACCGGGGTTTGAACCAGGGACCTGCTCGCTGAGAGGCAGCAGCTCTACCAGTTGCGCCACCGTGCTGCCTGTGCTTTGTTCCATGAAATAAAATAAAAAATAGTAACTATTGTAGTCAAAGCTTTGTATTGTACTTAATATTTCTTACTCTGAGAAGATACTTTTCATCAGTTATGCTGTAAAACTTTAAAATTCTATTAAAAAAAGTATTGTTTTCTATCAACTTCTTAGCCTGTGGGCCAAAATTATACCATTGTGGGCCACACAGACTCATTGTAAGGGCTGCACATGGCCCTGGGGCCACACTTTGGACACCCCTGTTCTAAGGGAAGAACTTGTTCTTGTTGAAACTGAAACGGTCCCATTCCACTCACCTTTGAGGTCCAGCCCGGGTCGTTCTGTTTGCTCGTCTTCTCCTCCTCACAGTCAGATTTCACCCATGGTTTCATCAGATTGTCTGCTCCCCGGTTCTGCCCACCGCCACCGACTGCAGGACCGGCAGAGCCAAACGGATCACTGGACCCTTTCTGCCGAATTCGACCCCCTTTGGCCCTGTAGTCAGCCAGCATCCGGGCCAGGTCCTGGCTGCTGCCCAGTTGCTCCACGATGTGGATTCTGGTGAGAGCATGACAGGGCAGGACGTGGACAGGCCTGAGCTGAGACGCACCGTTGGACTGTCCACCGACCGACGAGGACGGCGCAGAGTCTTTGAGGAGCTGCCGCTTCTTGCGCCCGTCCAGCTCTCTGAAGTCCTTGTTGAGCAGAGGGAAGAAATAAACCTGCAGGAAGGAGGAGACACTTCAAACCAAAGTCAAGTCCTAAAAAAAGAATAAACTAAATCCAGTCACATTTTTTCAAACGTCAGAAATAAAAATCCTTTCCTGCTCCTGAGCTTCATCAAACTGTTGCAAACACAAAGCATCTACAGAGCAGCCAGGAAGTATCCTCAGCCTTTGCTTAATACTTGGTTGCTCCACCTTTGGCAGCAACCACAGGCTCCAGTCTTTAATATGCTGCCTGGGTGGGGGCGGGGGGAGTCCAGTTCTGGGGGCCTCAGGACTCCGTCTCTGCTGTAAACAGATGATGTGGTCCTGTTGGCGTCATCCTGCTGTGATCTCCAGCTCTCACTGGAGCGGTTCACAGCCAGGACCTCTAAATCTGAGGCCATGGTCCTCAGTCAGAGGGTGGACTGTCCTCTCCTGGTCGGAGGTGAGGTGTCTGTCTATAACTAAGATGCTGCCCCTGCAACAAACTTTTTCCCCCCACGGTGATGACAGATATTAGCGCGTGTGTTGGTACTTGAACCTGCAGGAGCCGTTGGGACAAAACATGACGTCAGCTCTGTGGGGGTACCTGTTCAGGGAAGTAGTCCCTGCTGGGGCAGTGCATGCCTTCAGGCGTCAGCAGGAACGGCTCCTTGAACGTGATGAAAGGAGAAATGCACAGGATGACGTCCTTCAGCTCGTATTTGAACACGGCAGAGATGGACTTCAGTCGGTCGTCAGACGAGTCCACGTGCTCGGTCACAAACATCCCTGTGTCGTCCTGGAGGGGGTCTCGAAACACTTTGAGGGTGGGTGTCTCTGAACGGTCTTCGTCCTCCAGAACCAGCGAGCCTTCCACGACCATGTCTCCCTCAGAAATCCCAATGAGAGTGTCAGATCCCATCTCCTGGTCGTCCTCCATGAGGAACGGAGGAGAGACGGACAGACCGGCTGCAGCAGGACTGGAGAACGGGGACGAGGTCCTGGTCTCTGCGTTAGGAGCGTCTTCAAGGAAGCCAAAGGGAGGAGACTGTTGACTTGGCTTGTCTTGAAGAACGTCCACATCTCCATTTCTAGATGCAGACTCTAAAGACGAGGCTTCTTCTTCACTCCCGATGGTCTTCTCCAGGCTGTCTCGGTCTGGCTCCTGGTCCAGGAGGCAGGGGAAGGAGCTGCTCTGGGGCAAGCTGGGCGGCATGGCAAACTCGTCCATAAGGAAGGAAATCTCCAGCTGCGAGTGGTACGCCACGCACACCATCAGCATTATGATGTCCTTCACCCTGGCCAGCTCGTGCTCCGACGGCCCCCGCAGCTTGATGGAGCAGCCCAGGTGGGGCGGGCAGCCGTCGAAGAACATGAGGGTCTTCGACTCGTCTGGAAACAGAAACAGGATTTAAACGACTGGTGGTGACAGAAACCTCAGGAAACGGGAGCGTCAGCTGCTTCTTACTGTTCGCCATGGTGAAGGGCTGCAGGTAGAACTTGTGGCAGGTTCCGAGGCGAGGCTTGGTGAGGAGCTGGTCCATGGACATGACCAGGTCGCCCTGCGTCATCCGGCTCACTCGGTCCAACACTTGCTGCAACAACAAAAACAAACATGGCAGACAAAGGTCAACATAGCGCCCCCTCCAAGGCTCAGATGTCCCAGCCTGTTGGCAGCCTTGAACGCAGCATCACTTTGTGAATCTGGAGCGGTAATTCAAAAGGCACGTTCAGGCAGCTGATCCGACCGCAGCAGGTGGTCTGTGCAGAATATTCCTGCTGGTGCAGTCTGAAATGTGCACATTGTGTCTACGTTCGAGGCTAATTTATAAAATAACCGTGTCTCAACAGGTTTGGTAAAGTTCTTCAGTCTGCTGCTGACTGAGCAGAACTCAAGTCCAGATGTTTGGGTTTTGAACTGAACCTTTTCTTCTACATGTATTACATAGTCAGTCCTCAGAGCTATTTAATGAAAACACTGGACCAGCTCTACACCCTCAGCAGGGTCCTGGAGGGTGCGTGGGAGTTTGCCCAACCAGTCTACATGTGCTTTGTGGACTTGGAGAAGGCGTTCGACCGCGTCCCTCGGGGGACCCTGTGGGGGGTACTCTGGGAGTATGGGGTACCGGGCCCTTTGATACGGGCTGTTAGGTCCCTGTATGACCGGTGTCAGAGCCTGGTCCGCATCACCGGCAGTAAGTCGGGCTTGTTCCCGGTGAGAGTTGGACTCCGCCAAGGTTGCCCTTTGTCACCGATTCTGTTCATAACTTTTATGGACAGAATTTCTAGGTGCAGCCGAGGTGTTGAGGGGATCCGTTTTGGTGGCCTTAGGATTGCTTCTCTGCTTTTTGCAGATGATGTGGTCTTATTGGCTTCATCAGATCATGATCTACAGCTTTCGCTGGAGCGGTTCGCAGCCGAATGCGACGCGGCCGGGATGAAGATCAGTTCCTCCAAATCCGAGGCCATGGTCTTGAGCCGGAAAAGGGTAGAGTGCCCTCTCCGGGTCAGGGAGGAGGTCCTACCCCAAGTGGAGGAGTTCAAGTATCTTGGGGTCTTGTTCACGAATGAGGGGAAAATGGAGCGTGAGATCGATAGGTGGATAGGTGCAGCGTCTGCAGTGAAGCGGGCGCTGTACTGGTCTGTCATGGTGAAGAGAGAGCCGAGTCAAAAGGTGAAGCTCTCAATTTACTGATCGATCTACGTTCCTACCCTCATCTATGGTCACGAGCTTTGGGTTGTGACCGAAAGAATGAGATCTCGGATACAAGCGGCCGAAATGAGTTTTCTCCGCAGGGTGTCTGGGCTCTCCCTTAGAGACAGGGTGAGAAGCTCGATCATCCGGGAGGGACTCAGAGTAGAGCCGCTGCTTCTCCATGTCGAGAGGAGCCAGTTGAGGTGGCTTGGGCATCTGTTTAGGATGCCTCCTGGCCGCCTCCCTGGTGAGGTGTTCTGGACACGTCCCACCGGGAGGAGACCCAGAGGAAGACCCAGGACACGCTGGAGGGACTATGTTTCTCTGGCTGGCCTGGGAACGCCTCGGGATTCCCCCGGAAGAGCTGGCCCAAGTGGCTGGGGAGAGGGAAGTCTGGGCCTCCCTACTTAGGCTGCTACCCCCGTGACCCGACCCCGGATAAGAGGAAGAAAATGGATGGATGGATGGATGGATATGTGCAGACGTTTGCCTGTTCTGGTAATGGCCGCCATCGCTGCAGTGAATCACAAGGTCACGTGACCAGAGCGCCCTCTAGTGGTTCATGGAAGTCTTCGGCTCTAACACACCTGATGTGAATCAGTGGTTCAGAGCATGAAGAGGCGGTTCAACCGTTGGGTCAGGGTTTGTTGGAGCAGGGGGGCAGACACCCCTCGATTACAGAAAACTCATAATCTGAGAAACTGCATTTCCTGTGAAAATGCAGTGCGAATGCTTATTGCAGAAGAACTTGCTGAAAAACAGCTGAAATTAAATAAAAAAAAACATGCAGAAATGCAGCTGAAATGGAACAACAAGCCTAAATTAGCAGAAGAAAGCAGAAAGAACATGTTTGATAAATTAGGTATAAATAAGCAGAAATTAGCACAAAATTAGGAAGTCAGATAAAAAAATGAAAACAAAAGCTGAAATTAGAAGAAAACAGCTAAAAAGTAGCTAAAACACAGAAAGAAGGTTAAATTACCATAAGGAAGTGGAGAGAGCACATTTTTGCTGAATTAGGCTGAAAAAGTTTAGAGTGCAAAGAATGTGGAATTAGCTGAAAAAGCAAAAAGAAGCACAAACACAACTAAATAGTAGCTGAAAGAGAAGAAAAAGCTAAAACTAGCAGAAAAATCTGAAAGGAGCACAATAAGCAGAAATCAGCAGAAAGAAGTTAATTGGGCTAAAAATGGCAGGAAATACCGCAAAGAACTTGAATTTATCTGAAAAAAGCTGAAATGAGGTTAAAACGGCTGAAAAGGTGAATCGAGCTTAAATTAGCAGAAGAAAGCAGAAAGAACACGTTTGTTCAGTTACGCTGAAAGAAGAAGAAATGAGAAAAAAGATGAAAGAGCAGAATTTCTCGAGACAACAAGACTACTTGTTTAAATAAAGGTTGAATGAATGAACAAATGAATGAATAAATGAATGAACGAACGAACGAACAAACGAACGAATGAATGAACAAACAAATGAATGAA